GAGAGAGAGCGAGATGGAGCACGCGAAAAAGATGGTTCTCATCCCTCATAAGAGACTTCAAAGACTCCGAGGGGTGTCTGGCGCCGAAGGAGATCAGCGTCGTAGCTGTGGAAAGAAGATACATAGGCGACTGATAGTTTCTCGTTGAACGTCTTCGAGTTAGCATCATGACCATGGATTTTGTCATCGAGATCGAATACTTCAAAGACGCCGAGGGGAGTCTGGCTCCGAAGGAGATCGGCGTCGTGGCTGTGGAAAGAAGATACATAGGCCACTGGATTGTTTCACCGCCCTGTGATTTCAACGAATTACCAGCGGCGATCAGAAGCGAAAACAACACCATGAGACGCTATCGGCATGGTCTAGAGTGGTTCGACGGCGGCATAACGTACAAACAGCTATACTCCAATCTCCGAAATATTGCCGGTATTTCGTGGAGCATACAGCATATACACGCGGGGTCCGGAGAGCGTGCTTTTTCTGCAGACCGTTATAGCCCGGGAGGTTATAAATTTGGATGAAATCCCCAATAACAAGGACTTACAAGGAAATACAAGGACTTCCCACCGAATAGTGACCATTACGAGTGTATCGTTCACGCTTGTAAGGAGACACGGGGATCGTTTACCTGTGCTCTGAACAACGCATTGCGTCTTGAATTCTGGCTTCGGAATAACGGACCGCATATATGAACACGCTAGACCTTTACTTCGGTCTTCGCGGTATATCGGAGCATACGACGGGTGTCTACGCAGCTGATAGAATACCCCGAAACTGGTCGAAATCCGCTGCTATTATCGCCAACACGGACGATCATACGAAACCAGGAGCGCATTGGGTTGCAATATACGTGGACGCTGACGGAGACGGCTACTACTTTGACAGCTACGGATTACCACCGCTGAATCATCGGCACGTATCGAGGCTCCGCCGAAACTGTCGAGCATTCCAATGGAATACTCAGCAGCTTCAGAGCGAGACGTCGACGGTGTGCGGCCAATTCTGCATGATGTTCTTACACTACCTCTCATCCGGCTTTGGGATGCATGCCTTCCAGAATGTGTTTAGCGATGATTTGCGGAAAAACGATAGAATTGCCCGAGAGTACTACGACGCTTTTGTGCGAAAGAAGCGCTTGGCGGATCGCCGGTATGCGCAGGGTAATAAGATCTATGGTGGTGGAGGTGGTGGTGGTAGGATACAATATTCGCGCTGTAACTCAGGCTACATGTGTTAAGACCTGTTTCACGAAAGCCGAGTAGGTTGTACGTTTAATTACATAAATTGACGCTATAGTTTTGTTAATTTTTTTTGTCATTTTTTTTATATTTATTATACATAGCATGAAATTATTTTTTTAAAAATTAATTGGTTTATAACAATTTTTTTTATAACAAAATGTTTTTTTTTGTTAATTTTAACTAAACCAGTGTATTCTACGGCAAATTTTACCTTAGATTCTTATGTTTTAAATATTTTTTTTCATATAGAAATAAACAGCAAAACTCGTGAAACCCAAATTTTCATAAAAATTCACCGTTCAAAAATGATCCAAATTGCGAGGTACGGGGAAAATACTTAATTTTACTTAATCATAACTAAGTATTTTTTTTTATTACAAAACAACATCATAACTAATAAATCGCATTGGTTTTTATAGCATTTAAATAAAAATCAATTAAATAATGATTAAAAAAAAAAAAACGTTGAAAAACGTATTTTGTTTATAACCAGTTTTTTATAACTAAATCTTATTTTTTTTCATTTTAAAGAGCAGCAACGTATTCTACGGGAAATTTTACCCCAAAATCATATATTTGTCGATATATTTTAAACATTTTTTCCCCTCCAAATCAGCAATCAAAAAAACAAAATCCCAATTCGCACTAGTGTACCATTAGTAGGTGCTGGGATGAAGTGTACCATGAGAGGGTTAATGATAATAAGTATAATGATAAAAAAAAAAAAGAATAAGCATAATATATGTATAGTGTAAATAATAATATCTAGGAGGTAATAAGTGTGACCTCCCCGTACCCGAATCGCACCAGGGTGTCTCTATTAGCCTCACAATAGAGGACACACCCTGGGCAGTTGGCTGCTGGGTGCCCGAGCAGTACGCTTCGGGCACAGGTTGTGCACCGCGAGAGGTTGAACTCCATTTCCGTGTTGAGTAGTATGTAGTGCATACTGTGGGGGGTGTATAGCGGCTGCACGTCCGGTGCTAGCTCCTCCCACCGGTACGCATGAATATATCCATGGAGGCATACGCCGTTGTTTAACGCCTCGTAGAACAGGTCGTCCGGCCTGGGCGATGGGGTGTTCCGCTCCCTACCCACGTCGTCCTCACCCCTTTCCAGAGCCGCTCGTGGTACCATTATCTCTGTGTATTAAAAGTGTCATAATGTTTTAAATAAAAATAAATTTAAATAAACGTATTGTCTTAAAATTATAACACCTACCGCTCCAATAGCCGGACCCGTTTGTACCACTCCATTAGTTGCGGTGCTGCTGCTGCTGCTGCTGGTCAACGTCTACAAATAAGTGCGAAGGGCGATAGAAAGACAATACTTTTTTTTTAATCAAATAAAAAAAAACGAGTACTAGCTTAAAGCTGCAATACATACTACTTTCTTCTTCTTTTTTTTTAAACAGCCTGCAAAAAACAGGTGTCCTGGTCGGGCAGTCCTGTCACTTGTCTACAAATAAAAGTAAAAGATACCGCATATAATATTTTAATCAAATAAAAAGAGGGTACTAGATTCATCTTAACTCTGTTATACATACTACTTTTATTTCAAACTTCACTTTTACACTTTTACACTTTCACTTTTATTTTCTTTATTTGTTCTACTACTTGTACACATACTACTCGTCGTCGCTCTACTAACAAGATGCTGCGAATATGGTTCACGGGTCACCGTCTTTTTCCCCACCATGACCATACATTTCTGCATAGTTGCAAATAAGAGATGCCCGTAGTAGGGGTTTATGCTGGCCTGGATTTCATAGGGTTGGTCAAGATAGTGGTACCCCCCACGCCAGCCGTATTAAGCAGATGCGTTGTATGTGGATGGTTCATCCCGAGTAAAATATTAGGGGTTGTTCTGCATAGTTGCAAATAAAGATGCTGCGAATATGGTTCACGGGTCACCGTCTTTTTCCCCACCATGACCATACATTTCTGCATAGTTGCAAATAAGAGATGCCCGTAGTAGGGGTTTATGCTGGCCTGGATTTCATAGGGTTGGTCAAGATAGTGGTACCCCCCACGCCAGCCGTATTAAGCAGATGCGTTGTATGTGGATGGTTCATCCCGAGTAAAATATTAGGGGTTGGATATTCACACATCGATAGTTAAAAGTATCGAAAAAGTATCGCCAATGCGTACGATGCTTGTATAATATAAGGTATTTCTTACAAAAAAAAAGAACCGTATTCTACTTTACCACGTTACCTCCTTAGGGTAGTTAAAAAGTTACCGACCGGCGGTCACAGCATAATTACCGACCGTGATACGGCCCCTGGGGGCATGCAATGCCGCTGCTACTGAGTTTCGGACCTTAGGACCAGGTCCGCATTGTGGGAGAGCAACAACATAGGTTGGCGGTGGGGAGGGGAGAGCTGGTCACATAGGCGAGGGGGTGGCGCCATAGTGCAGCGCGGGGGGACACAGCGCGATGCGCTCTATGACTCATCGGGACAGTGGTGGGGGTTTGTTGTGACGGCCAGAAGTGGCTTATAACTACTTATTTATAATGGAGATATCAGCCAACGCTACAAGTTATTGGTTGTGAGGGGGATTCCATCACACTTCTACCTTTGGATTGGCGACATCTTCTGGAACACTCTGAGAATATCCTTAAGCATTTTACAACTAATGTTACTGTACTAAAAAATAATAATGAATGGTTCAAAGTTCCCCTCGCAAATTGCAACATCGTAATGTGCGAATTATATGGTGACCGTGCGATAAAGATAATATCAGGAAAAGACACTATTGTTTTCAGAAGAAAATGCTTCGAAAGACTTTTAAAGCTCGAATCGTGTATATGTTCTGCTGTAACGCTCGCGGAAGATCATTGTGTTACCGCAATCCGAACTCGTAATAGTTTTCTCAATGAGATTATAACGGCCTTTGAAACCGGAAAAATTTCGAATATCATGCCTAGTGCAGTGGCCGACCTTCTTGATTCACATTGTATATTTAATCACCTCTGCAGAGAGTTAGTAACACTAGCAATACACGAGTTAGTAAATAGTGCACTCGAGCGTTTAAATTGCACCTGATCCGACTGTAGACTTTAAATTACTGATTTCATTCCATTATCCTTGTTCTTTAAAATTTTTATGAAAGTGTTAAGTTTTTCAACGATAAGACAAATTTATTCTTAATATCTCAAAATAAAAAAAACACTGAAATATTTATTGTTTATAATGTTAGTAACACTAGCAATACACGAGTTAGTAAATAGTGCACTCGAGCGTTTAAATTGCACCTGATCCGACTGTAGACTTTAAATTACTGATTTCATTCCATTATCCTTGTTCTTTAAAATTTGTATGAAAGTGTTAAGTTTTTCAACAATAA